GAGGCTCCAGTAAAACACACTGACTGCGTCTCTACATGGACATCATGGTGTTTACATGAGCACAGAGAGATTGGGTTATTCATGTTCCCTGTTTACATGATAAATACTAGTAACCTGGCATTTCGATGCCTTTTCTCATCTAAACTATTCAGTATTTGTATCTCTCTATCTCGACATAAAGACGAAACTCCTCTCCAGAAGTGAGACGCTTTTGCCGCCGCCGCCATCACTGTTAACTGATTAACTGCTACCAGCTGATGACTTTTCCTTTTTTTTTCTTATGTCCATGTTGTCTGGGGGAGAAAACATATCAAACCAAGAGATCGTCAGCTTTGATTTTCGCTGTATTAACAATGTCCTGAACATTTGGTGTGTGTGCCTTACCTCCGCTACCAGCATCGCTTCATACAACAGATCTGAGCTGTCCAACTATGACAACACTCCTTGAACATGCACGCTATGTGAGAATCTGCCTTGGTACAAAGCAGCAGTGAAAACATGGTACGGAGTTTCATTGATTTGGGCATTCTCTCAATAAGCGAGTGGAATGGATTTGATAGTGAAGCACTGACACAGCGCTCTACAAAGTGCGGCGAGTGGATAGACCGATTCACGGACTTTCCACATGGTAAAAGTGGGGGGGTCTAAACTAATTATTTCAAAAAGTGGGGGGGACTTGTCCCTCACTTAATCCCTCATATAATGGCTGCGACACCCATGGATCTAACGGTACCATGATGAGTTGTTTACACCAACCAGTTTTAGTTGTCAATTTTCAGCTGCAGCAACTTTATTTATCTTCTGTCTCTGCAGCTGCTCAGTGCCCTGAAGTCTCTGAAGACTGTTGGTGTGATCACGCTGATATCAAACCTCAGAACCTCATGCTGCTGATGGAAAACAACTCAGAGTCAAAGTGATTGACTTTGGTTCAGCCGTTGTATCTGCTGAAGTCAAGCGTGGTGTCATCATGCAGCCTGCTTCGTACAGGTGGGTGTTTGTGTTCCAGTTATCATTATTTTATTTTATTTTTTAATCGAATCACATCACTGCATGATATGTAAAACATTCCAAAATTAAAACGCTTTTCTTCCACCCTCATGTCTCCTGAAGTTATTATGGGCCTTCCCATCACAGAGGCAGTGGACATCTGGTCTTTGGGTGGTGTTTTGGCAACCATGTACCGACTGGCTTCCCTCCCTAAAAACACAGAGGGAGTTCAACCAGTGTCAGACGTCTGGAGGACCTGCAGAAGGTAGGGTCCTTCTCTTAATGTACAAGTAAATGATTAACAAGTTTGGAAAACCCATGGTTTGGTTTAGATATCAGCCATTTTTCGTTTTTACCTCTAAATTTAAACAATGTTTGACTTCATTTCCACATGCAGCTGAACCCAGCTTTACTCTACCAATGAGCAAAGGTTCGTCCTCCTGCCTGAGATGCTGCACCTGAATCTTTGGAGGAGAACCACACCCAGTGACGCTCTGCTAGACCCATTCATAACTGGACTGGATGCTGTTGACTCTCTGGTAGAGGATTCATCTGAGGAAGATAACGGTTATGTTGGTGGTGATGGTGATTCTCCTGCAGTGGACACATCAGAGGGGGCTTCATCCGACATTAGCTCAATAGACGTAGCCTGCGCTGCCACCGTGGATTCTTTCGTGGGTGTAGAAAACGTATAGCTGTTGTTTTCTCCATTGATGAGGCCTCAGTTGGTGCCCCTGTTTCTACAGATGACACCATGACAGTTGTTCCAAAGAAGGAGGTCTCAGCTCCCCGTTGCTTCACTGTCGAAAGCTTACTTGGTGGTGGAGACTCAAACAGAGCAACGACTGTTCTTTATGACGCTGTTACAGAGGCACAGCCGCAGCTGATAAATCTGCTCCAGCCATGACAAAAGCTGCACTCAAAAGTCCCTCCACTGGTGAAGGTTCTTCTCCACCCTCTACCGCTGACGCCCACATCAGCTCTGGTGGAGTCTCAGCCAGAAACAGTCAGGGGAAAAGGATCAGGAAGTTCTTCGTAAGGATGTTCAGGGCCCTGAGCGGCTGTTGCTTTGCCAATGTTGAGCAATAATTAGATGTTATCTGTTTTCTTTGTTCTTTTATTTCATTATTAAAAGTTTTCTTCCATGTGTAATCTGGAGGATAGTTTTTACCCAGGAGATACTATTAGTAGTGGATTACTGTTACCTGCAACTACATTATTAGTATTTTACTATATTTGTAAGTGCAAAATACCTCATATCTTGCAAACTGAAGCCCGCACTCAGAACTATAAACACTTACCAATACAAAACCAATGGCACACACTTGACTTCCTTTATAGTACAAGACACTTTACCCTTGTTGACGCTACTCCAATGTAGGAAGTCTCCTTTGTTTTGGAGATCTGAGCTGAGGTTTTGCTCTTTGAGTGTGAGTTTAAATAATTGTGCTTTATGTCTAATTTTAGTGTGTTAGCAACTGGAAAAAAATCTAAGTAGGAAAAGAAACAATCCCACTAAACAGTGCAAGTGAGAAAACACCAACCTCCACCACCTGGGGGCGCAGCGGGACAACACATGTCAGTAATAGTGTCTAATGAAAAAAGACAACCTTAAAATCAGAAGATGTTTGAGGGGCAGAGGAATACATGAAGGATTTCAGTTGAAGAACCCTTTAATTTGACCATGATCTTATTATTTACACTTTTCTGATAAGCACACATGCTGAGTGGTCTTGGTAGAAACAGCACAGGTGTCACTGACAACATTAACATACATTTTTTAAAGCAAAAATTTAGAACTTAATATTTGTACTTTAAGCTAACATAATACAATGTGGCCTGCATTCAGAAGCTTTCCTATTACCTGGCTTTAACGTAATAGAGAGTAACAAGGTTAATTGCATTTTGATTCTCAGATTAGGTTCTGATTACATCTTTATCACGTAGTGATTGTAACAGAATACATTTTTATTGTAACCCTCCCAACCCTGCCTCAAACATGTTTGTATAATGAATACACATAACTATTTCGTTTTACACCTGGATATAAACCAAACACACAGAAGTGTGGGGGCATGGATGTATAATAAGTGTGGGGGCTGCTTAACTGTACCCGCTTCCGCAGAAATCTCTATTGGCCGCCACCGCGGTGTGGGCGGGACACGACGCTGTGACTCAGCTCTGAGTCACTGCACGACCTGTCTGTCAAATACTGCCTGCTGCTGCGTTCATGTACCATGGGGTAAAAATGATATTTTTAACTCGTGTCAGAAAAATATCGCTACTGGAAGGGAAACAAACAAGTCTTCTAATCTAAGCAGTGTAAACCTATAAACATACGTCTACATTATATACATTATTATTGTTCGTTCATGCAGTAAAGTTTCTACACACTCTCCCGCACCCATTGATAAAAGTTTAATTAGGCTACATATTCCCTGCATGTATTGTTAAGGCTAAAGTAGCGTTAGCCTTAATTATAATCGTATTCAGCAGTTACACTCCAAAGTGATCCGGATATTACCGAGTAGGCTGTTTTAAAGACCCTTGGACAGAGGAGTGGGTTGATCGTAGCTTATTTTCTGTCCGTGTCATGCTACTTAAACGCATCACCAGACTGGCTGCTTTACATGACTTCGCGTTGGCCGCTTTTTGATACATTGGAGGCGTTGGACAGAGGCTCACAGTTTTAAGGAAAAGTAGACCTCTCAACAGCAGCGGAGTGAGCTTTCTGCTGTAACAACAACATCTCCAAAGCCATCGCTGTCAAATATTTTTTCTACTTAAGCACCGTGCTGGACAGCTGTGTCATTGAGGGTGAGTGCCTAGAGTTTTACCTTTAACTCTTGTAGTGTTTGCTGGTGTTTGGGGCTCGTGGTTGTTTCTTGTTATGTTCCCCTTTAACTTCTTGGGATTGAATGTAACGCATCCTTGTTTCAGCACCTTAAACATTGTTCACAATGATTCCTTCATTGGTAGCGTTAACACATATATACGGGTCAAATGAAGGGGCAGGTAGTCTTTTCTGTCTTAATTAGTCAACACTTCCACAAGTCTAAACGCGCAGCGTGGAACCCCCGTTACGCGTTGCCTTTACCGCCAAACTGCACCAGGGAAATGCTAGATTATTTGATTTTGCCTATTTATTAAAGCTGATACATGACAGAATGAGCTTTCAGTTATATGTTTTATATTTATTGAAGTAGTGCTTTAAATCGGCATACATATGACGCACCAAATAATCATATTAATTGGATTTATAAAGAAATGTATGGACTTATATTTTCGAAATTGTACTGACATCCTCCTTCTATTGACAGACAGTGGGACTGCCTTAGAACACAGGTGGTTTACATTATATGGACATCTTTTTATATGTAGCCTATGCCACATTTTGTAAATTACTGTCACATTTAAAACATCCATATATTTACTTTGAATGTGTATTTTCCAAAAGGCAATATTCAGGAACTACAGTTTGAAAGGTTATCATAAGAAAAGGTTATCATCAGACTCGGATTGAAACCATGACATTAGCTGTCCATGATATACTCTCCACTCTGAGGAAAGCAGTGTATTCCCCGCTGTGTTGCTGTATGCATTATAAGCAGGTTATGGTAAAGCTCACACCGTCAGTTATGTGCTCTTCTCGTGTGTGTGTGTGTGTGTGTGTGTGTGTGTGTGTGTGTGTGTGTGTGTGTGTGTGTGTGTGTGTGTGTGTGTGTGTGTGTGTGTGTGTGTGTGTGTGTGGGGCGGCACTAGC